CTTCTCTGCAAAGACTGCAGTCAGGTGCGTAGGTTGTGTCATAGCTGTGGGACAGGGCGATCCTGCAATGTCTCTAAGGGGGAGCCTGACACTCAAGGGGGGACTGAATGTAGATTTGCAGAATCTGGGACACGACACTGTGGGAAAAATACCCAGCATCTCACATGGCAGCGGAGCAGCAGAGGTTCAGATGAGAGGCTGCTGGGGTGGTGGAATCACTGCCAGCTGTGATGCTGCTCTGGTGGCTCTGGGCAGGAGGGAACCTGGGGCAGGAGATGGGAGGACCTTGTCCTACACTCAGGCCCCCACACACTGGAAATCCAACCCAAGCCGCAGTCAGCTGGACCATCATCCATCAACCCACCCTACTTCTTCTGACAATTGTATTGCACTTTGGTGTTATATCCCTGGCACTGGTGTATTTATCATGTCCTCAGGTTAGGCTAGGCTGCCTTAAATGTAAAGTCACTGTTATGGCTATCTGCATATTATTTACAAAATAACTCATTAGATAGTTTTTATAAATATTACATGTGGCTACGGAAGAATTTGCGATGATGTCTCTTGACATCTGTTTATTTTATAGGAGATCACAGAGTTTACTGCTATTTTGCCTGGCCTTGGAAGGAAGTTTCAGAGCTCTGATGGAACCCAGTCCCAATTAAGACTCAATTAGAGACAGATGAATATTTCATAATGAATAATGTGTACAAAGTAATTCACCTCTTTTCTCCGTGCACAGCTTGCAATTTTCTCAAGTGAATTCTTTATTCAAATTATTCACAGAAAAACAAGTATAAATAATTCTTGTTCTGCACATTCTTCAATAACTGTCGCCACAAACCTTGCCGAGCTGGTTCAGCTGGACACAAGCAATTGATAACATTGACATGACCTATATGTTCAAAAATCATCACTCAGCTTCCCCAGATCGTCAGAGAGATGTGGAAATCTCCAGATAAATAAATGCTGGATCCTTTTAATTTGCCCTCTTTGTTCTGACTCCTTGAGGACACTTGAATTTAATTTTCAAGCTTTTCTCTGCAACATAAATGAAAGCTGAAACTTTCATCTAATTACATTTCCACATCTCCAAGGAAAACACCAAACACCAAGATGCTTAGGATCAAAACAAGAGCTGATGACCCTGAGGTGAGTGAGTTTCTTCTCTAACTGGTTCAGCAAAACTCTCCAGTGAACATTTGTACCAAAAATTCATAATTACACTCTGCTTTGGTACATTTGCTGAAAGAGCCGCTTAGAGTTTGCTTGCTCTGTCTCCCAGTGACACCTCCGCTGCGTTATTCACTGCGGAGGCACATGAGGAGTGGAAATATGTCACACCAGTGAGCAAGTCCCACAGATATTTTCTACTTGCTCAGCTTTATCTTCAAGCCTGTCATCCGGTGATCAAGGCTCTCCAAAGTTGGCTGTTGTCAGGAAAGTTTTTGGGGTTGTTTTTTTTTTCTAGGCTAGGGAAAAGATCACTTACCCGAGAAGAAAGAGAGCAGCAGCAGACTGAGAAGCACTAAGGCACCTGTTGCCTTCATGCTGCAGGTAGCTCTTTAGTCCAAGCCAAGCGAACTGTGCAGGAGGTGTCGTCTCAGTACCGGAGCCCACAGCGTGCACACAGACCTGCCTTTCTGTGTATTTATGTGCCCATCCGTAGCTGTCCTCACTCCCCACCTTAATTGTGAGAACTTCTCCACTTCATTTCTAAAGCCATTATTGGTCCTGGCTGTGTTTATGGTGCTTTAGGAATGCTGCCCTGTCCACATCAAACCTAGAAAGGGATAATTACATGAGTGATAGATGGGCTTGTAATATCTTTTTTTTTTTTTTCTAAATAGTCACAGGATTCTCACAAGGGTGAATTTGCAAAGCAGTGATTCATCAGGGAAGCTGGTAATTTTCATTCTCTGGGCCCTCGCTGAATGCCAGCTCCGAGGCTTTGAGTGCAGCGTGATGACACTCACTAGACGTTACGAAATAAATCACAGCATGAGAATGTGTTGTCTGTGAAACCAATTATACGTTGTTCCCTGGCTATTTTTGAGGATGGTTCTAAATTTGTTGGGTTGGGGTGGAGAAGCGCTCCAACGTGACATGCTCTCATAGCTGTGTGCACAGTCCCAGATAGGACTGCTGACTCTCCTCCCTGAACTATTTAAACTCTAGCTGTCAATGTTTTCCAGTTTTTTGCATTCACAAACATATGTTAGGGCTCCGCTCCCACAGCAAGTGGCAATGAAGGGTATTTGATGGGGAATTGGGAGACCTGAGCTCTATTTCCAGCTGAGTCTGTGCAAGGATTTGTGTTCAGCTGCACCATTTGAAAATATCTGTTCAGATAAGAATAAGCTTAAAATTTCAGTATGCTTTCCTAAGGAGACAAGGCTTAGGAAACCATTGTCTATAGGTATATCTGTTTATTAGTTCCCCCAGTAAATTTTGAATCTGCAACTAGTTCCAACCAAATTTGACATAGGGGCAAAAAAAATTAAGAATAAATACATTTTTATACATTTTCCTGGCGACAGAGGAAAGATGCTACTAACATCATCAGCCAGCAAGGGAGACAGTTTCTGCAGGAGAGCAATGTTATGAATGCCCTACATCTGGGGAAGCATTAGAGTCTGCACCTTGCTAGACATCTTAAAATCCACATAGCAGAGAAACTGTGACTGACAGATGAATTCTCAGATGTCTATTAAGGGTGAGCTCACAACACAGCTTCTCATATAATTTAGTTATCAAGTCAGTCAGCTGCAGCGCCGTTCAAAACCACGCTTAGTTCTGCCACTCGCAGCACTACTTGTTTGCCTTTTCTAGTTTCATACGTCACTGCTCACAACCACAGCCTTAATGCCTCGGTCCTTTATCTACCCAAGCGTTTCGGTTGCTGCAGCATAACTGGCTGAAGCCTTAGCAAACGTACCACAGGGACCAATCCCTTCCAGGCTGAGGAGAGGAACAGACCAAATTACCAACCAGGTGATTATCGTTATTACCTTTTTCCACTTTGTAACATCTGAAACAGGCCACTTGCTGGCATAGGTGAGGGAATTCTTCTATCCCTCTGACTTCTCTGAAAATCAGGGATAGAAGAAGGGCACCTGGACCTTGCTTTGCAGTCTAAGGGGTGTAGTTGGGCAGAGTCTTGCTGGTGTTAAGCCCAGTACTTACCTGTGATGGGCCAGTCTTTAGTCTTATGTGATACAAATCTTTCCACCTGCTACGGAGTTCTTTCTTAGAGACTCATGAGGGATTTAGGATACAGCCATATAACCACTGCTTGCCATTTGCCCTCCCTTTCCCTGTAGGTGAGCAGCTATTCTTTGGGCTTTTCTAAAGCCTTCTGAGTTCCTAAGCAAGTATCTGCCTTCCTCAGGCAGAAACTACCACTGTAGAGGAGGCCCACTGTAGGATGTTGCCGTGAAGACAATTTCCTGCTGTGGCCAAAACTCCACTAGTCTGTGGTCAACAAGAAATTATAGCAGAGTTCTGTCCTGTGCTGACAGGTCTCCGTTCACATTCACTGACTACTGAGACCGTTCCTTTGTTATTTTTCACAGACACACAAGCAGGTAAACAGTGAGGACTCTCATGACTCTCCAGTTTGCCTTAAGAACAGGCACAATGGCATAATATGATTTATATTGCCTATGCTAACAGGAAAAAAAAAAAAAAAGTTCTGTCCCTTGTCCTAGGACAGAGAACTGCTCTATGCTAGTACTAGGGGAAAAACAAGCCTCTTATCTTTCGGTGGGAAGCACCTACAAAATTCGTGGTCAAGAAATCACCTACTTCAGGAAACAAGACCCAAAGAAAAGGTTTGGAAGTCACAGATTTTGTCCTAAATATCAGCCTTAGCAGCAGATATTCTTGCTACATACAAGAGAATAGCAAGTGGAGAAAGGAAGAGGAAGGAATTGTGTGAGCTGTGGCACTTGGGACTTTTTGCCTGTGTTGTTTGCATATTAACTCCTTGACTCACCCAAAGAGATGGCACATCATTATGAACATTCTTATATACCATTGCTCCTCCAGTGCACTCTTTAGGTTCTCACAAAGATGTTATCTCCATACCTTTTTTCCCAAGACAGAAAGCATCTTGGAGCTACCAGCACATCTTCTGGTCCTTCTTTCCTGGGGTTAGAAATCCAAGACCTTTCCCTGAAGCGTCCCCTGTCTTACCTCTGCCACAAATACCCCAAGTACAACTTTTCAAATCTCTTCTCCAATAAGCTGAAAGCTGAACCCAGTCTAATTTCTCCTTGGGTTCTCATTAGGCTCATTACAGCCTTGCCTAACTTGCTGCAATTTTCTGCTGATCAACATGGTCTTGATGGACACACCCTTCAAGGAAGCAGCAGTTCCTAATTTTCTTCCCTATGAGATAGCCTCCTCCCTCTGCCATAAGCCTCCTTTTTATAATACACTGCCAGACCTGCCCCTTGCCCAGGTGTGACCAAGTAGGGCTGATTATGGCCACCTTTCTCTCTCATGCTTCCCCAGGGTCATCCCCCCATGCCAGGACCCGTAAAAGGACCAGTTCCTCCAAGACTCAGTGCTGTTACAAAGACAAATCCATTTACACTCTATAAGACACTGAAATTAGGAAAGTGGCAGTATTTTATAGCAGCTTGATTTCTCTTCTGATGGTTTGATATGGAGTGACGTACTCTCATGAGGGCTTGGGCTGGTGTGTGACGGGTGTTACGCTTTGCTCTTTATTGTGGTTTATTTCACAACTTCTCCTGCCTGACAGGTAAGTACCTAAAAGCCTGAAGACCATTACCCCTGCCCTGAAAAAAAAAAACCAAACCAAAAAACAAACCAAAAACCATTCCGTGGCAAAGAGAGGGTCTGCATTTAATTTATTGATCAATCAAAGCGGAGAATCAATCAATGTGCAACGGCCAAGGGAGCAGGGAAGAGTGTGTTTCATTGCAGGATTTGTAAAGGAAAAATCAGGGCGAAGGGTACGGCTCCAGCGCTCAGCATTCGCCACGGTGTTTGAGCCACAGAGTTCCCTGGCTCATCCTGAAGAGAAAGAGGGAGACCAAAATTACAGACATGGAACTCAGTTTTATAGTCTAACTTTACCCAAATAAGCCAACACTTTCATGCTCTTGAAGTTATAAAGTACTTCACTTAATGTTTCACCTCTTTCCTGATTCCCCAGGTTACACTGTTTCTCACGTTAAAGAGATTTGGGACAAACCCCATAATTTCGGACACCTCCTACAGTCACAGTTTAAACCACTCTGGCAGGGAGGGAGTCAGCAATGCTCTGAGCCTGCAAACGGGGATCTGGATTTAATTGCAAGGGAAGAAGAAGACTCACTCGGGCTTAAGATCTGCAGTGCCTGGGGGGTGGCAGAGGAGTGAGCGTTGGGAGAGGATCACAGAGCAGGAGTGGATTTACAGAGGGGCTAATGGGAGCTCGTTGGCTTCCACGCCAGCTGCCGCCACTTCATGTGTGCTCCAGCTCCTCTTGTTTCACGGCTATGTGGTGAGCTCCATACTTACGAAACCGCATTGCAGAACTGGCACTTGTTTCCATAAGTTTTGCCATCGGAGCCGCAAAGGGGCTTATAGTCAGCGGTGCAGATGAGATTGCTACCCTTTTGGTTGCTGCAGTCAATCTCCTAATAATGGAGTAACAACACATTTTAAAGCTTTTGTTCCCTGTATTTTCCTACCTGACTGCTTTAGGTTTATGTAACGTTTATGACATGGCAGAGCATAAAAGCACTTTTCAGGTGCAGGGCTCTGTTGTACTAGGAACTCTGCAAACTCAGAAGCAGAGAATGTGCTTGATTGGAGCAGCCTGAGGTGGGGAGAAGGCAAGGGCCAAAAATCTAATAAATAGTATTATAAATAGTGAAATGACCATGCTTATATTTCCAGGCTGGCCCTCC